TTTTTTTTTTTTTTTTTAATAATATACATAAAATTATTAGTAGCATTATTAACATTTATATTGAAAAATGATGTATTAATTGGGGCACGCCGAGTTTTTGATCCTCGATGTTAAGTTTTTCTCAATTTGATACTTGGATATTTCAGCGTTCAATTATTAATATTATTGATACTTATCACATATTTATTTGTGTAATAAGTACTTACATATACGAACTTAACTTGATTATATTGATCTTACTTTTTTTTTTATTATAATTAATTTAAAACTTCTACACTTTCCTACAAGCAACTGTGGAACTATGAAAAGTGCTATTGGAACAATTATTGTTTTTTAGGAACTAATAAAACGTCGTGCTAACTTCACAAACACAGGACGGTCTCCTCGGGCGAGCCTGCACTCGCGACCGCTCCGCGGACGAGACGTCGATAACACAAAAACCCTTCGGTACGACACTAAAAATTTCAGAGTAAATGAGAGGTCTTACAGTTCCGCTGGTTCACCCTAGTTGATAATCGGCACCGGTGCGGTCCTCCCCCTCCTGTCGGCCGCTGGTCAACGCGCTCGCTCCTCCGCTCGGGTCGCTCGAACTCCCGTCTCTCTCGTGCCTACCCCTCTCGTATAAATACCAAAACCGGCACTCGGTCTCGTGCAATGTTCGCGTCTCGTTCGCAGTTTCCGTCAGTATCGCTCGATTTTCGAAGTGTTGCGCTCACGGCGGTAGTCACAGCTAGACTGAAGAGTAGGCTGTTTCTCGGAGATCTCGAATACTGGGAGATCCGCCCTCGTCGCTCCTTTCCACGTCCAGAATTTCTCGTTTTCGCCAATCGGCGATCGACAGCTTTCGGTAGAATTGTCTCGAGACGTTAATTGTCTCGAGACTCTTTCGCCGTCAATGCTGGGCTTACAGCTTTGAGCGCACCATTTCTTATAGCCGGGATCCTCGGGACGGTATTGTTCTCCCGGTACCGCTCCTGGCTTCCCGCTGCGCCCACCAAATGTTAGCTGAAATGTAAATGCAACTGAAGGTATCGAGCCTTAATTCGACAGCTATGTTTCCGTATTAGCAAATATTCTGAAGCGGTAGAATATTCGGGAAGATCGAAGACTCTTAGAGCAAGCGGAACAAACGAGAGTATTATAGCGCCAAATATATGCGAAGCGATTACCTGAGCGAGAGCGATGAGCGATGAACTGGCAACCGATGCTCCTCTGTCCCCCGTCGTCTTCGGATTCCTTTGATCCTGGTGGCCGGCAAGGGAAGCCGAGAGAACATAAAATCAGGGACGCGAAGATCTACGCATCTGCTCCGCTTGCACGAAATAAATTCTGGAATTTTGTCCTAAGGACTCACACGAAAAAAGAAGAGAAAGGTACGCCGGGACGCGGTAAGCGAGAAAGGGTCACGAAATCAGTGCGCTTTTTATTGGGCGCTTTCGAGGCTGCCACGTCACAGTGCATTTTACGACGTGCCGAATTTCCAGCCGGTGATACCTGTTCCGGACATGTTGTCCGGGACACAGGCGTAACAAAAGAGACCGGGACAGTAAGAGCTGTGAAGAATTTGGGAGCTGTCTTGTAAGTTCACTTGCAACGTCGATGTATCATCGTCCACGAAAATCATATTCAACGATCCACCCGGGTCGTGCAGCGGTATCTTTATTTCGTATTCTTTTTTGTTGCGGCGTCGGGTATTTGATCGTACACCAAATGATTACGCGTGTTCATAAATATTACTGGAATATTAATTCGTCCAGAATGCAAAAAGCAGAGGTCGAAATAAGGGAATTAATACGTGATATAATTCTGACAAAGCCGAGGTAAAAAAAAATTACCGTGAGGTCTTAAATTTCACACCCCTTCGTCGACTACGCAAAAACAATTATATCAATCCACACACTTCTATTCCATTTGTGTCACGCAAACAACAACCTATCCATATAACCCTCCAAAACATATATCATATCTGTACCTGACGTTGCAACTCCAATTGTACAAACAATTCTGAGCAATAGTCCACTGTCCTTTAGTTCCTTCGAGTTAACCGCCCCACCTCTGAGAATCAATATTCCCCCTTGTCCTATTGAAGAAGAAGAAATTGTTAAAGAAAATCTTGAATTATAGGAAAATAGTTTTTGCATCGAACCGACACAATACGAGTCGTTCGATAAATTGACAAGATGACTCCGTCCTCGGTCATCATCATTTTTGCTATTTCTCGAAGTCGTTCTCTCCGTACAGATCATGCACATTCTCTCTTACAGAACCGAGGCGCAAGTTTTATCAGCGAGTAGTGTTACGGGGAACGCAACGGATCCCGGATCAAGGAATTTCTAAAACCGTTTTCCTGAAATTTTTGAAAAGTACAAAATGTTGCGCTTGTAGTGGGAGGTCGCACTCCCCTTACAAGAGGACCCGGTGAGTAGATGCAATTTCTGGCGTCCCACAAAGGACCGCCTTTTTTCTTATCTACGCCGGCCGGATTTTAATTTTCGCCGGCTGGGTATGAATAGTCTAGAGGTGGCGTGAGATTTTTCTCAACAACAGTCCTCAGTGAGACGTCGTACAGTGGGCATAAATAGAAATTTACTGTTAAAAAATCGCTAGAGACTACAATTTTATAGCAATCGGGATGAATTTTTTTTTTATTAAACGTTAATCAATAGAAAAAACTGACGAGTCCGATTTTTAAAAAAATTCTTCTAAATGTTGCAATATTAATAAGAATTTGTAAAAAATTATCAAGTTCTGTGAGCTATTTCAATTGGAAACCTATCTATCTTTTCGCTGCACAGTACAGTGTAGTAAAGTTTTCAGCATTGCTGATTACAAATCTGATATAAAAATCAAAATTTAGCAGTTGACAACTGCTAATCTCCTGTCAACATCAACAAAATCATTATGAGATTATTTTTTATTGAATATTATTATGTTTATTTGATTGAGATTATATTTCATTGAATATCATTATGTTTATTTGAATGAAAATCATTATGTTTTAACACAGTATATATGCTGCAATAGGATATACAAAGTCGTTCAACATAAATCTAAAGTCAGTATTAAGATCTAGTATTTAACAGCTGTCTGTCAATCCCATAGCCGATATGAAAATAACGTTTCTGTAGCACGAAATGTGTCACTGTAAGCTATATTAGGTTTAGGTTGCTGAATACGAACTTAATTCTTATTAATATTGGAACGTTTAGAAGAATTAAAAACAAAATCGGGCTCGACAGTTTTTTTCTACATTGCTTAATGTTTAATTAAAAAAAATAATTCATCCTGATTGCTATAAAATTGCTGAAAACCTTAGTACACTGTACTGTGCAGTGAAAAGATGGAAAGTTTTCCAATTGGAGTGGCTCACAAAACTTGATAATTTTTTACAAACAGTCTAGCTTTGTACCGCTGGGACTATGCACATAGTAACTTTGTAACGGCCTTGCGTTACGTGCGGGATAGTCTTAGTCGGTGTGGTCAGGGTGTCGTTTGTGAAATGAAAAGCAGTGGTGTAGGTTATAATAATGTGGAACTATATTCTAATTTCGAAGCTATGTACAATTATTTACATGCGACGTTACGCCGTTGGCGCGTGGACGCGTTTTTGTTCTCGTCGGGAGCCGATGTTGTCGTCTCGCGATCAGCTGCGAGCGTCGAGGTGCGCAAGCGTCCGGCGGGACGCGGTCGGGATTGTTTCCTGATACGCTATTGTTCGTCGTTCGGAGTTCGTTGCCTCGTCGGCTTTTATATGTTTATTTAACCTGGCTGGTTTAAAGGCGCTCGTCGTCGCCGGTATCTTACGCCCTGTATGCGTTCGCAATCGTAGGTGTTAGCGGCGTGGCGTGAGGAGAAAAGGATGTCGACGTCGCGTATCTACTTCGGTCGACGGAGCGGTGGATGGATAGGAAGCCGACGTCGCGTATCCACTTCGGTCGATAGAGCGGTATCGGAGCAAGGATGTCGACGTCGCGTATTCACTTCGGCCGGCAGAGCGGTAGCGGAGAAAGGATGTCGACATCGCGTATCCACTTCGGTCGACGGAGCGGGGTATGGATAGGAATCCGACGTCGCGTATCCACTTCGGTCGGCAGAGCGGTGTATGGATAGGAAGCCGACGTCGCGTATCCACTTCGGTCGACGGAGCGGGGTATGGATAGGAATCCGACGTCGCGTATCCACTTCGGTCGGCAGAGCGGTGTATGGATAGGAAGCCGACGTCGCGTATCCACTTCGGTCGACGGAGCGGGGTATGGATAGGAATCCGACGTCGCGTATCCACTTCGGTCGGCAGAGCGGTGTATGGATAGGAAGCCGACGTCGCGTATCCACTTCGGTCGACGGAGCGGGGTATGGATAGGAATCCGACGTCGCGTATCCACTTCGGTCGGCAGAGCGGTGTATGGATAGGAAGCCGACGTCGCGTATCCACTTCGGTCGACGGAATGTCTAGGATCTCTAGGAATTTCGAGTTCTGGTCGGTCGTGCGCCTGAGAGGAGCTTTCCGATCAATCCCTGATCTCGTTTTGTAACGGCCTTTTATACTAAATTATAACAAACAGTGCGACTGTTTGTTGACCTTGCGGTTATCTCGCGCGCGGTTGTTCGGCGTTTCTTTGTTAGTCTTGTAAATAATATCTTTAATTGTCGTGACGTTCTCCCGGATCGTCACAATTTTTTACAAATTCTTATTAATATTGCAACATTTAGAAGAATTTTTTAAAAAATCGGGCTCGACTATTTTTTTCTACATTGATTAACGTTTAATTAAAAAAAAATTCATCCTGATTGCTATAAAATTATGGTCTCCAGCGATTTTTGAACAGTAAATTTCTATTTGTCCCAATTATAGACATATATAATAGACTGCGCGTTTATATGGGCTGGCTGTCCAAGGAATCGAAGGACAGAGATAATCCAAAAGTAGCTCTCTCTCTCTCTCTCGCACATCACAGAGTGGGGAAGAAGTTGGAAGGGAGTTGTCGTGGAGAAGTGTAATTAGCGGTAAGGGGAAAAAGTGAAAACGTCAATAGCACCAGCTTGAAATTTGCAAATGCAGCACACGTAAACCATTTCTTCTGTTCTCTCCCATGCACTCCCCTGTTTTTTTTTCACATCCTCACCAACTGGCGAGTTAGAATGAGACACAGCTATTTTTCATATTGCTCTCTCTCTCGGGTGTTGCGGATAGCGCCTCTTACAAGACGGCGCAGTCTATTATTTATGTCTATGGTCCCAACTGTGCGACGACGCTGAATCTAGCAGACAGAGTTGGCAGGAGAACGTCGCGGCCCAGGAGCGAATGATAGAATAGGCTCCCAAGAAAAAAAATGTTTTATAATGCAATTACAGCTTTCAAATTGGAGAAAGACATAACTCATATCATTAAATGATTTTTCGCACGATTTTCAAGCAAACGAAGTTATTAAACAATATTTATAAATGTTTATAAGCATTTCTTAAATCAGGCCTCGGAATTTTTGTCACATTTCGGACTGATTTCAGACGCGACGCCCACCACTGCCCCATTTTCACTCGAGCCTAAGCGGCCGAGCCGCCGATCGCTATGCCTCAGGAGCGTCGTAAGAAATATATGTAGCCTTTCTCTTGTAAGAAACGTATGTAGCCCTTCTGTGTCAATCCGTTATTAAAATTTTTACTTCTTCAATATATATATTTTTTGTAAATAATATAATGTTACATTATTTATGTGTAATA